AAAAAAAAAAAAAAAAGAATCGATAAGAGAATCGATAAAGAATCGAATCGTTAAACAGAATCGAAAATGGAATCGGAATCGTTAAAATCTTATCAATACCCATCCCTACTGCCAAGACCTCGGCCATCGTGTGCTGCCTGAACCACGAGACGCTGGAGTCCAACTGTATCCAGCTGGAAAATGGACTCCAGTCTTTTTACAGCACGCCTCTTTCACTTTTTTCTGGCCTTCACACTCCGATGGATGCGTCAGAGAGCAACTTAGTATCTTGGAAGGATAATTAGCACGCAGCCTGGAGCAGCCAGGGATCGAACCACCAACCTTGGATTAGTAGATGACCTGAGCTACCTCCCCCACCTTAGAGCACCCTCCTTCCCCAAGGGTGATGGGGATGAGGAAAATTCCCAGTTTACGCAGCCCAACATCAGCCTGCCAACGCATCAAACTACAACTGCTGCCCGAAACAAGAGACGCCAGAGTCCGAGCGAGCCGCTGGATCAGAACTCACTGAACTTCCCTGACGCCTTCTTTCATCTCGGCCGGTGCAGAGACAGTAACACAGCTGCCAGTTTCTATGGAGACAAACTAATACAATGGGTGTGACATCATGCACAGGTGAGACACAACAGGAAGTCTAATCAATATCCTCTATACCAATGAGCAATCAATAACAATGGAACAGAAACCTGAAACACACTGAGACAGGTGAGAGACAGACAGGTGTGATGTGTGGGGCGCAGGTGAGCTGTGGAGCAGGCGTACGGAGAGTCAGGAAAGTCATACTAACGTGGGCCGTGCGGCAGAGACACCACAGCAAAGATGCTGTCGCAGGCTGCAGGTGAAGAGGAGAAACACTGTGAGGAAGGGAGAGGAGTGGTGACATCATCCTGCAGAGAGGAGGTACGATGATGGAGGCAAGAGCGAGGAGAGGAGGTACGATGGTGGAGAGGAGCACCAGGGGAGGAGGCGCGATGCTGGAGGTGAGCGCGAGGAAAGGAGGCACGATGGTGGAGAGGAGCACAAGGAGAAGAGGCGCGATGGTGGAGGAGGCGCGATGGTGGAGGCGAGATGGTGGGGAGGAGCACAAGGAGAGTAGGCGCGATGGTGGAGGCGAGGAAAGGAGGCGCGATGCTGGAGGCGAGCGCGAGAAGAGGTGGCACGATAGAGGAGAGCGCGATGGTGGGGAGGAGCGTGAGGAAAGGAGGCACGATGGTGGGGAGGAGCGTGAGGAAAGGAGGCACGATGGTGGGGAGGAGCGTGAGGAAAGGAGGCACGATGGTGGGGAGGAGCGTGAAGAAAGGAGGCACGATGGTGGGGAGGAGCATGAGGAAAGGAGGCGCGATGGTGGAGGAGGCGCGATGGTGGAGGCGAGCGCGAGGAAAGGAGGCGCGATGCTGGAGGAGGCGCGATGGTGGAGGCGAGCGCGAGGAAAGGAGGCGCGATGCTGGAGGCGAGTGCGAGAAGAGGTGGCACGATAGAGGAGAGCGCGATGGTGGAGAGGAGCACCAGGAGAGGAGGCGCGATGGTGCAGAGGAGCACCAGGAGAGGAGGCGCAATGCTGGAGGTGAGCGCGAGGAAAGGAGGCGCGATGGTGGAGAAGACGAGGAGAAGAGGCGCGATGGTGGAGGAGGCGTGATGGTGGCGGTGAGCGCGAGGAAAGGAGGAACGCTGGAGGAGGAGGCGCGATGGTGGAGGCGAGATGGTGGGGAGGAGCGCGAGGAAAGGAGGCGCGATGGTGGAGATGAGTGTGAGGAAAGGAGGCGTGATGGTGGAGGCGAGTGTGAGGAAAGGAGGCGCGATGGTAGAGGCGAGCGCAAAGAGAGCGCGATGGTGGAGGCGAGATGGTGGGGAGGAGCGCGAGGAAAGGAGGCGCGATGGTGGAGGCGAGCGTAAGGAAACGCGGGAAGAACGTCCTGAAGCACAGCACGAGGGCGGAGCGCAGGTTGTCGCCGCCTCGTTCAGACTAAGAGGCTTACTTTGTGTCTGATTGGTCCTGCTGCTGCCGTGACCTGTTAGGGCCTCACAGGTGGACAGCAAACAGGAAGCCACAGTTCCAATCCAAAGACAGCGAATAGGGTTGTGTGGTCACATTCAATGCGTTCAATAATATCAGTGGGCAGGCTCAGTGTCAGTGTGAGTGGGCGGGTCTTACTGGAGTGGAATGGGCTGCTGGGTCCTTGCGGCGAGTCAAACACGCTGCCCACATCTGTGGAGCTGGAGGCGGCGGAGGCGGCGGAGGCAGGGGGCGGGGTCAGGGGGGTACGGGGAGAGTTGGGGGCAGAGGCCGGCGTCCCCTCGGACTCGCTGTCCGGGATGCGGCTGTAGCTGATCTTCCTGGGCTCGTTCTGGAGCGGCGTCGGATGTCTCATGGTGCCGGGCCGGGCCGAAGTGGGTCGGATCCCCGGAGACTTCAGAGGATAGGTGTACTTCTTCGCCTGCAGCAGGTGAGTTGATTAGTGTCATGCACGTCACACGCAATGCAACACGTGACATGACAAGGTGCTGCCACGCTCGTACTTACAAATCGAGGAGCCGATCGGAGCTGACGAGGTTCGATCTCCAGAGACTTGTGGAAGAGATAATCACTGAAGTCCTTCTCCGACAGGTCGCCCATTGGGTTCAGGTTCTCGAAGAACTTCTGCTCCACAAAGACAAAACAAATGCACGTCAACAACGAAAGACCACGCTCCAACCGCTGCTCCAGCCGCTGCTCCAACCACACTTCATTGGCTTCCTGTTAAATCCAGAATTCTCACATACAAGGTCTTAAATAATCAGGCCCCATCTTATCTTAATGACCTTGTAGTACCATATCACCCTATTAGAGCACTTCGCTCTCGCTCTGCAGGCCTACTTGTTGTTCCTAGAGTATTTAAAAGTAGAATGGGAGGCAGAGCCTTCAGTTTTCAGGCCCCTCTTCTGTGGAACCAGCTTCCAGTTTGGATTCAGGAGACAGACACTATCTCTACTTTCAAGATTAGGCTTCAAACTTTCCTTTTTGCTAAAGCATATAGTTAGGGCTGGACCAGGTGACCCTGAATCCTCCCTTAGTTATGCTGCAATAGACGTAGGCTGCCGGGGATTCCCATGATGCATGGGTTTTCTTTCTCTTCACTCACTATGTGTTAACAGACCTCTCTGCATTGAATCATATCTGTTATTAACCTCTGTCTCTCTTCCACAGCATGTCTTTATCCTGTCTTCCTTCTCTCACCCCAACCAATCACAGCAGATGGCCCCGCCCCTCCCTGAGCCTGGTTCTGCTGGAGGTTTCTTCCTGTTAAAAGGGAGTTTTTTCTTCCCACTGTTGCCAAAGTGTGTGTGTGTGAACAGAAGGTGAGGGGGTGTGTCCTCACTCTGATGTCACCCTCCACCCGCAGACAGTACGGCTGGTTCTGGTACTGCTGGATCTCTCCGGTGATCTCGGCCACTTTCCGTCTCTTGCTGAAGTTGATCAGATCTTTGCCGTGTCTGTGCAGGAAGTCGGGGTTTCCCTCCTCCGTTTTCAGGATGTTGGTCAGGTAGATTCCTGTCACACACACACATACAGTTATTTGACCTTCGAGCTGCATAGTTATCCATTAGAGATTGGTGAGAATTGAGTCACTGATAAATTGATTGACTGATAATACTACTAATCCCGAGGGAAATCATACCAAAGAAGGGGACGCAGGGGGGGTTGATGGAGCGCAGTTTAGCCAGGTACTTCTTGTAGTGGTCCTCGCTGAGCTCATGAGCGTCCTCCAGGATTTTTCTCTGACGACTCGGAATTTGCTGCAACCATAAACCGACATTTCTTCTTCTTCAAACACACGATGACGCTCACATTCTCTGTCAGCAGATTAAACTCAGATCCTTCTGATGTCAGTGACGTTCGTGGTCATTATTACCTCAAAGGTGTGATCCAGTCTGTACACGGGTGCAGAGTTCATGGCGCTGACGACCTCTAGGACGCCATTGAAATTGTTGAGCTCCTGAAACACCTGCAGGATTTCGATGATCCGGGAAAAGACAGCGACGCGTTCCTCCAGGTTCTCCGTCTCTACGATACACCTGCAGAGGAAGTACAGCTGACATCAGCCTGACGTACTTGTGGAGTTTAGTTACCGCACACTAGACCCCGCCCATGCCAAAGTAAGGCTTACTTTTCAAACCACAGGGTGAGGTTGGTGGTGTGTCGGATCATCCGTAACAGGTTGGGCGAGTGGATCTCTTTGTCCTCTTTGGTCCAGACGCTACCGACCAGCTCAGACGGTTGCACCGCCCTGCAGGTGGAGATCGGTGGTTAGATAACAGTGGGACAGGTGCCAGGCAAGACAGGCGCAGGGCGGAATGTTACCTGTAAAAGTCGGACTCGAGCAGGGTGAGCTGGCGGGCGATTTCGATGGGGTGCAGGGTCATAAGGTCGAAGTGCTCAGTGTCTCCGGGTTTGCAGATGTGCCATTCGATGGGAGGAGGGGAATTCTGGAAGGTGATGCTGTGACTCGGCACGCTCACCTGGACCTGCTTCTTCCTCTGGATGATCTTGGTGATTGACTCCACCCACTTCTTCATCGCCTTACCTGCGACATATGACATCATTTCCTTGCTCCAGCTGTTACACATTTGCACTGACTACAAGCTCTTATGTTTTCATATTCAGTTTTATCTTGTAAGAAAAGAATAGCTGACCTTTTTAAAACTCGGAATTTTGAAAAAGCGTTATCGTCTGTGCTGCACCTTTCTGAACACCTGTACATACCTTTGACTGAAGCAATGAAGTCCTCCATCTCGCTCAGAAGGAGAGGGTCTCTCTCAAAATCATAGAAGTGATGTTCGACCCAGTGGCGACAAACATTCAACACTCTGCAGGAGGACGAGGAGGACGACGACATTACTAAATTAAAGTCGCATCGTTTTCGATTTATTCCAAACTCGAGCAGAGTGTAAATGAAACTCAGAGAATGGGTGTGAGCAGGTGTCTCTTGTAGCAGGAGCGCTTCCTACCTGAGCTGAACAGGTTGGACAAACTCTTTCCGGAAGCGTTTGAGTTCAGCGCTGGGTGGCTGTTCTCCTCCCTCCGTCTGATTGGCGTCCGCCGGCTTTGGCTCCGGGATCTCAAACCTGAAAACATCAACATCACAGAGCTGAGAGCAGAAGCACACCTGTTGAGATCCACAGGTGTGCTTCTGCTGCGACCTCCCCACAGTCCACAAGGGGGCAGGAATATCGTCAAATTTCAGCCCATTGAAAGATGGTTTCCATTCCCAAAATGGAGAAAACTGGAACCATTAACAGAAGACCTCTGCTCCTCCTCCTCCTCCTCCTCCTCCTCCTCCGCCCTGCTCCTCACACTTTATTTGCTCCGATTGTCTGTGAAGGTTCTCAGTCCTCCAGGTCGTCGTCGTCTAGGCAGCTCAGAAAGAAAAGCACTTGGACTTCTTTGGGTTTTTTTTTAAGATTTAATTTAATTATTACATTTTAAAAACAAAAGCTCTTACAGAATAATTATGGCACAAAGTAAATATCTACAACTCATTACAATACGGTAAGTTATTGTGACTGCAGGAACACACTTAGGTGTATATTCTTGCATCCCAAGGATAACGTCATCTGGACTTCTTTAAATTCCTTGAAGATGTTTCAGAAGGTGGAGTCCCAGATTTAAGCCCTCTGGGAGTGTCTCCCCAGAGGGTCCTGGACCCCCTATTGAACCTCCCCTAATCACACGAGGATCCAGGTCATCGTAGACCCCCTAACCCCTGTGAGGTGGTATCAGGTGAACCCGCTGTGAAACCTAGCCCCACCCTATCATGTGACTTACTGAGGTCAGATGGCCCAGGAAGTGAGTGGGCGTTAAGGCATCTGGGAAGGATCTCAGACTGGATTATAGATGGCAGACAGTTGGTGTGGTAAGCCCCGCCCTCTGTTCAAAGATGGTCGTACACAGTGGACATAGATGCTGATCAGGCAGATGATCAATAGGGGGTCCAGGACCCTCTTGGGGGACGCTCCCATAGGGCTTAAATCTGGGACTCCACCATCTGGTCTCAGAACTGAAGACGCTTCTGGGATGAAACGTCTTCAAGGAACTTAAACAAGTCCAGATGCTTTTCTGTCCGAGCTCCTTCAATGTGCTCCGATTGGTTCTCCAGACTCATATGAAATTGCGTGTAAACAATATGTGTTGCTAGGCAACCAGAGACAAGCTGAGGTGTAAATATGAGCCAGTCTGCTGTATATATGGTTCTATTTGTTTAAATGATAAATAAACCCAATAACACACGAGACGACGGGGTTTTAATGAAACCGCTGTGTGAGAGCAAGCGTTCTGATTGGTCACTGTGCCTGGCAGGTAAGCTCACCTCTCTATGAGCAGGTCCAGCAGCTCACGAGGTTTGCAGAATGATCTGTAGGTGGTCAGAAAAGTCCGGACGAAGTTTGGATCTGAAGGAAAAAACACGAGCTGATCAGTGAGGGATCAGATCAATCAGCCTAGTTCATTAGCAGGCCTCTGGAGAACTTGGAGGTCATTTAGCCGTTTAAATCAGCTGACATGTCTAAAACCTGCAGGACACCGGCACAGTCGGCGCCCACATCGCCCCCAAGTCTCACCTCGCTGCCACGTTGAAACTCAAGCTACAGGTCAAGAAGCTAAAACAGCAGCAGTACGACATCTCACCTGTGTGACATCACGCCTCACCTGCGTACATGTGGAAGGTGAGTCTCTCGATCAGCTTCAGGACAGTCCCCGCCTTGATGATGGGAATGCCGGACTTGGACTGGACGTTCTCCTCGAACACGACGTTCTCCTCGGAGTCGGGCTCGGCGAAACGGTACACCTCGGCGCCCGGGAGTCTCATCTGCTCCTCCTTCTCCTCCTGCAGCATGGCAGTGTCCAGCATGCGCTCCAGCGTGCTGCGGTACTGCAGCGAGATCAGCGCCGCCATCCAGCCGTTCTTCTCCTCTGCAGACTTGGCGGCGAACACCACACTGTTGCCATCTTTCAGGATGATCTCGAAGGCGTGGCGGTACTCGCCCTCCTTGTCATCTTTGTCGTTGATCTGAACTTTGCGCATGAAGAACTTTTCTTTGAGGCGGTACTCCGCGGTAGAACTGGCACCAGGCAGCCGCGGCGGGCCATGATTAGACTTGCAGCAGATCATCAGGCCATCGAACAGGAAGATGTGGCGTTCGTGTTTGGCGCCGACGCGGGTCAAGGTACCCTCCATGATGAACTCATTGCAGCACTGGCCGATGTCCTTCCCCTCCCAGCCGTCGATGTTCTTTTGGATCTCGTTCATCTTCTTGATGGCGAGGTGCTTACCCTTCATCTGGTGGCAGTAGAAACGGCACGCCGACTCGCTGCACGCCACCACACAGGAGTGAGAATATGTAGAAGAAGAAGAAGAGTTAGTGAGGAGGATGGAGAGGGCAGGGCTCGCAAAATCACTAGCCCGACGTCCCGGGGCTAGCGATTTTTCCAGTCGGGCTACCAAAATCTATCTCTGCCCTGCCCGTCGGCCTATCGCAGGAAGGAAAAATATATGTCAATGCTTTTGCATTCTTTCGGAAATGTAGCTGGGTAATTATGTCATTGGCATCGGTGAGCCACTGTCAATATGTGACATATTGAAATCGCGTTTGAATTTGCGCTTGTTTTTTGCTTTCACTTTGCAATCGCGCGAACTGTGTATAGAGAGCGACAGCACTGATCTGTGAGTGATGATAATTGTGCACCAATTCCTCTGCATCTTCCGGGCAAGGACAGAGAGACTCAAGAGGAGCTTCTATCCCCAAGCCATCCGTGCCCTAAACACACACACCCGCCCTCTCACATCATCTATAATTGACTGAGACAGGACTCTTCCAGACACTAAACCAAGGCACAATGTACATTTCAATTCCTTTAATTTTAAATATGTTTATATTGTCTATCCTGTAAAATAGTCAGATGTCTATTCATATTAATGTACAGAATTCACCTGCTTGCTGCTACTACTGAATCACCCAATATACTATAATGCTTCCTCTAGGTGTGGGGTGTATATCAGTTCTACTATGACATTCAGTGTAGTTCTATATAGTGTAGTATAAAATATATATATATATATATATATAAATGTTCTTCCTCTCACCCCCCCCCCCCCCCCCCCCCCCCCCCCCCTCTCCCCCCCCCCCCCCCCCCCCCCCCAATTATTTTTGCACATGTCGAGGAGCGTGTCAGGCTACATTTCACGTGTGTTAGTGATGATAATTTGTGCACCAATTCCTCTGACATCGTCTTATTAATCGTTAGCTTACTATGCAAACATGACAAGTGAAATCTCCCGCAGCTTAAACATGTGAGAGGTTGATCGCGCAGAGAATCGCTGAGCTTATGTGAGTGCGTGTGTAAAAGCAGCAGGATATATATTTTAGTTCTGCTGAGCCAAATAAGACAGGTCAGGGTGAAGAAGTGACAGCCAAAGAAAAGCTTACCACAAAACGGAAAGTTATGACAAATCAGACTATAAGGCAAAAAGAAAGTGCAGCTTTATGGTTTCATGGACAAAAGAATTTCTGTGGCTGCAATATGACGAGCTAAATAATAACCAGGGCTGCACATAAGTGGTCCGCAGGTGCGCATTCGCTGGCAATGATGAACGCACAGATGTGGTGCAGAATGTGCCGTGAAAATCCCACTCTAGGACAAAAACAGCCTTTATATGGACGCAAACGCGCGCTTGCAACTTCTTATCTGTGCGCGTCTTTTATTTTGACAGCGAATGCGCACATGCGGACCACTTATGTGCACCCGTGTAAATAACATAATGTTCTGCCGGGTGTGTTGTTGGTTTTCTCTCGATTTCTGAGTCGACAAGCGCCTTTGTTACTGGGACCAGTCATTTTAAGAAAGGCCCCCATTAGAACCCATGAGAAATGCAAGAAAAGCATTATTGCTCAGTCTGCAATATCTTTCCCAGAACAAACACCAATTGCAAATAACATACTAAAAATAAACCTGAAAAATCTGTTTAGAACAGCTACTATGTTGCAAAGAGTGAACTACCACTGGCACAATGTAGCAGTCTTTGCAAACTTCAAAAAGCAAATGGCCTCGATCTTGGTTCCACTTGTCTCTTACCCGTGACTTCAGTGGAAATTTCAAATTCAGGATCTGACACAGACTGATTCATGTCCTACACAGTTCTTACAAGTTCATAGAAATTTCTGTTCAATTAGAACCAAGTATTTGAGTTGATGATTGTAATTTTTATACAATGTTGTAATTTGTTTTTCAACAATTTTTTGATTGATGTTTTGTTTCTAATATTATACATTAAAGTATAATATTGTAACGGAAACAAAACATCAATCAAAAAATTGCTCTCTCTTTTATTCGAGCTACTTAAATTTATTTTGGGCTACCAAAAACTGAAGAGGCGCTGCCCGAAGGGCTACCAGGGGTTTTGAAATTTTGTGAGCCCTGGAGAGCCAGAGGGGGCGGGTCTCTGTGTGATTTCAGTGAGAAACACATTTAAGGAAATCACGGGACTTTCACAATAAAAGCAGCAGCTGTATAGCAGCTCTTGAAGTTATGAGCTGAGGTCAGAGTTACACGTTTCACTTCCTGTCAGCTGCTGCTTTCTTCCTGTGCGTCACACAGACATACGTGATCAACATTTTTGATCAGCTACAGATCGCTAAATTATTGGAAGTTAGTTCACTGCTAATAGAGCTGCTCACTCATCATTGGGTTGGTTGAGGAGGTCAGGCTTTGTACAAACCAGCAAAGCTGCAGCGACAACAGGAAGTGAGGTCACAGCAGGCCGACTCGGACCTCAGCTGGGACAAACCGCCACGCTGTGACAGAGACACAGTGACATCGTCATTAATGAGCACGTGTATTATCAATGGCAGTACTGGGTTCTGATCAATGTGTGAAAAACACCAATGTGATGTCATCAGGATGTGAACCCTGCAGGCGTGAGGAAGCAGCGCTGATCAGACGCATTGACGGCCCTGCAGGTCTGATCGATTGGACGACCTGAGAGCGGACGGACTGCTGCTTTATTCGCTGAGCCTGTTGTTCCTGCGAGCTGCTCACTAATCACATTATAACTTAAACCCCCGAGGTATGTGGAGGCGGGGCTTCACCGGGCTGCAGCAGCACCTCGACCACATTTACTTCCCTCACCCAGGGCCTGCCTCCAACACCAGGCGTTTACCTACTGATATTTATCTGCCCCCACCAGTGACCATCAGTATAACTCTGAACCCATCGGCCGGCACCGACCTTCATTATTGGCTTTTATGCATCTCTACCCCACACCATCCACCTGCCTCCATCCACCTGCCTTTGGTCATTCATTACCAGCCTTATCTGCATGATTTGTGCAAGGATCCATCCAGCTGTGACTTTCAGCTTTAATAAGAAGTTTAACCAAAGTAGTGCACGGAGTAATGAGCGCCTCACCTGAGCACCGAGCACCGAGCACGTCACCCAGTCAGCTCTGAACATGGCAGCAAGTGCTCAACTGTCGATGACTAAAACCTGACACCTGCACTTCAGTCTCAGCGGGACGGATTTAAAAATCTGTTGTTCAGAGTTATGAAACACATCTTTGTCTAACCAGCAATGAATCCAACTGCACCACCAGTTCTATCTCCCTCCACCCGCCTCCACCCGCCTCACAGGCTCATATAAATCTTTTCCAGCTCTTCTGTAACTCGTCAGTGAAGAGTTGGAGGACGGCGGTCTGCGCTGTATTCAGGTCAGTTTATCAGCCAGACAGGTGGTGCTCAGCCACAGAGGGAAACACCTCCACCTCCTCAGAGTTAGGGTGGAACAAAAACTTCTGTGCTCTGACCAATCAGACACGGAGATTCGGACGCCGTTTCCGCCAGGCTATGGAGAAGAGGGAGCATGCAGCATGCAGTTCAAAGCAGCATCCCTGCTTGTGGGCGGGGCATCAGTTTAACCACACCTCCATTACATTTCTCGTATCATCATTTCTTCTGAGCCTGATGCTGAACGCTCCACGTCTCAAACTTAAAACCAGCCAATCCCCTCGTTAGCTGTTGGGTCCTTAGCATCGACTGCTACAAACAAAAACACTAACAGGTCGTATCTAAGCCGCTTTTCTCCAGTTTACCTCCACCGCTCTTTGTCTACCACCATCACGCCTACAGGAAAACACGAGAGAACAAAGAGAGGTCACCTACGTCCTCATGTCCGCCTGCCAGTCATCGACCGTGGGTCCTCCGCCTGCTCGTTTGTCGTGTAATAAAGGAGAAACTTTACTGAGCGGGCGGCAGCAGCAGCTTTCCCCTCTCTCTCTCTCTGAGCTCTTTTCTTTCTAACAGAGAACAATAAGCTGCCCTCGCGCTTACGCCACTTCCTCCAAACACCGCCACCCCCCCACCGGCGACCCTAACGAACCCTCCCCTCCCCATCCTGCTCTATTTTGGTCCAAAGGGAAACGCAGAGGATGGGCGGAGTCCCACCCACAGTGTTTGTGCAGAGTGCGAGCTGCTGCCCGGCAGTTACAGCTGAACTCGGCCGGTTCTGGTTCTGTCCTGGCTCCGCTCGGGGATCTCACACTCAGGTGTGAAGGCTGACTCTTTGCCATGAACAGGTGAAGTGGCAGTCCTCATGTGGTCTACACGCCTGACACTGATTATTAGTTATTGATGAACAGGTAAAGATCAATAACCTGCTGTCGGTCATGAGGTTCTTATTATCATTTCTACTCATGCCCTCTGCTCGTCCATCGCGCACGTGTGTGTCTGTGTGCGTACCTGAGCCTCCTCTTGGCCAGGCTCCTGGAGCAGATCCTCTCCATGCTGCTCTGCAGGTTGAGCAGAGCCGTGATGGCCTGTTTCAGACACTCTTTATCCTCGTCATCCTGACTCTTCTCCTCCAGTTGCTGTGGAAACAGAGAGGGGAGGGGCTAACTACCTCCATCAGACAGAGAACTAAGAACAAAACCTGTGCTGTCCAATCAGAGTCCAGGACTCCCTCTGCCCCCCGTGAGCCCTCAGCTGTGAAATAATCTGCACTACATGACTGGAGGCATTTCAGAGATTTGCCCTCAGAGGGGCAAAGCCTCTTACGGCCGCAGTGGAAAGTCCCAGACCTGGACCGGCTCCACGGGAGACTGGTGCGTGCCATCACCGCACCTGACTGGGTTCACCTGGGACCAGTTTCCTGTGCTCAGCCACTGCCGGCCTGCAGGGAATGCTCTGTGGCAGGATACCGCCACATCATAAAGCGGTGCTATGACCAGGTTTGATACAGGTATAGTGCGTGTATAAGGCAGGTGAGTTACAGGTGCACTTGTGTGTTCGGCATCGCCTCTGTTGATCTCTGCGGGTGGAAGCGTGCAGAAACGCGCAGCGGGATTTAACACACATGTACAAACGTCTCTGTCAGGAGACTCACCTTGAGGATCTCGAACAGGTGCAGGCAGTGGTAAACAGGTGTGAGCAGCAGCCTGGGCAGAACGTACTGAACGGCCTCTTTAAAGCCCTCGCAGATGGACTGCAGACAGACACACAGACAGACGCTTCATCATCAGCGGTCACGTGACCCGCTGCACACGCCGATCTCTATCAACACGCTGCACACCTGAGCAGAGGTTCGTCTCACATGATAATCAGCTGACGTTGCACCCGCTCGTCTGTTTGTCTTATGACATCAGAGGAAAGGTGGCTCCGCCTGTGAAAGCGCGCTCATTGGCTAACGACTTGTGATTGACAAGTCGTTAGCCAACGAATGTGCAGGAAACACTACAGGCTGTATTTTTTTATTTAACTGATCCCAGAACCTCCCAGAGGTCAAAGGTCAGAAAAGTCTGCTTTCACCTTCTCTGACAGAACCATTGTAATCAGAGTACTGGCCTCACCTGCAGGTGGAAGGAAGCTCCAGGTTTGGACACCTGACTGAGGAAGTGTTCATGGAAGCCAGAGCGCAGCATGTCCTGAGCGTACGTCTCATAGGGGTCGAAAGCCAACTCCTGCCAATCAAAGCTCACGTCATTCTCAAGCAGACAACCGATCGATCAACAGATCAATCCACAGGCGTACAGACCTCAGCCAGGTCCTCGAAGCAGCTCCCCACCAGAGGATGAGGACTTCCCTCGCCGGTCATTTCCACCGTGTCCTCGATCAGACCGAGCAGCTTCACCGTCACCTCGTGGATATCCAGGATCCGACTGAAGATGCTCTCCACATCCTGCAATCGATCAGAGACTCATCAATTACACCAACCTGAGAATGTCACGGATCAAACACGTCGTCGTCACTCACAACAGAATCACCAATCACCAGACCAGTTAGTGATGTCACCGGTGGACATACGTGCTGGGAGAAGAGCATGGAGTTGGAGTTGAAGGGCTCCCTGAACACCCTGATGATCAGGTTGAGCTGCCTCAGGTACTGCCGACAGTCCGCCATGAAGCTCTTCACCAGCTCGTAGTAACTCTGCTCCTCATTGGCTGACGGCTCCTCATCCATTAGCGGGAAGCCGCTGATGTCCTCCTCGTCCTGGTGAAACATGTTCATCAACACCTGCACAGCGACACACAGACCTACAGGTGAGACACGCAGAGTTTAAAGGTTCCTCCAAACCATGAGACGGACTGAGCGGCTGCACGGTGTGGAGCTTTCACTGGACTGTGTTGTATTTTGCTGTGTGCGTGTGCGTGTGCGACCTTGTCGGCACACATGGCCACGGTGATATCCTGCTGGGAGATCTCATAGTGTCGAATGTTCCTCACGTAATTTCCTGCCAGCTTCAGGATGTCCGCAGAGATGTACTCCAGGACGGCGACCATGTACACGGACACCTGGTGGTCGATCTTATAGCCCAGCACCTCCTAAAGCACAGCACCGTGGTGAACACACTCAAGGCACCATGGGAAATTTGCGTAAGCCATATGATGAAGAAATGTACCTTGAGCAGGGGATGGATCTTATCAACAGGCAGCGCCAGCGGGTTCCTCCTCCTCCTCTTCTCAATGGCACTCTGAGCATCACTGAGTGCCCACTTATCGATCGGGTGAGGAAAACTCTTCTGCACGCGCTCCTGGAGAGAAAAGGGGCGGGTTCAGGACACGAAGCGGACTCCGGTAGCCCGCACGCCTTGGCTGGGCCAATATGAACCAAACAACACCTGATCTGAGCAGGGCTGTGCGATATGACGAAATGAAAACATCTTTCATATAATACACTATCGTTTGTTTCACGGTGACGCAAAATCCACTGTTTATGGATGCGGGGACAGAGAATCCCAGCACGACCAGTTTAGACGAGGCAGAACCAGGTAGCTGCAAACAGACGGACCAGTCCACACAAATCCAGGACCTTATTCCTAAACGAGGGCCGCCTCTGTTGCGCGGACACAGTTTGGTTATGAAACGTCTGACACGGAAAACTGCACAATGTAAGTTCTGGCACAAAGCGGCGCCACCTCAGACTCGAACAGCACAGAGCTCTTCTCAGTAGGGCTGGGACAACGCGTCGACGTAATCGATTACGTCGACACAAAAAATACGTCGACGTAAAAAAATCTGCGTCCATGCGTCGTCACTTTCAAAAAAAGACATGGCGGCAGCGAGTAGGGGAATCATGACTGAGGCAGTTGCAGTCAACTTAAATCACTCCACCCGAACACGCAGTCCTACAGTATGGGGATATTTTAACAGAAAAGGAAGTGATTCAGTCGTTTGCCAGCTTTGTGAGGTGGAAATGGCCTATCATAAAAGCACAACGGCTATGCACCAGCACCTCAAACGACGGCATCCAGGAGCAGCTTCTGCAAAGGACAAACCACCGTAAGTTTAACTTTTTTACTAACGCTAGTTTTTACCCGTTAATTCATCCAGACCCCCCACGTAGACGTACACTCACTCATAGACACAGATAAACACCCAACCTCCGTAAATGCAAAACTCATTTAAGCTGCTGAGCAGTAACATATAGCAGCTGCTGTTGTTATTGTTTTTTTGGTTTGTGGCCCATGCTGGCAAAATGAGTCGGAATGCGCGCAGGCTGATTATCAGAATCGGCGAAAGACAAAAATGTGAGACAGCGAATTGGCCGCAGGAGAAATGTTAACAAGGATAATGCACCACCTGCTAAACGTAGCCGTCGTGGACACTTTACAACATTGTTAAAGTGCTTGCAAAAGCAAAATGACAATGAACTCTTGATTTGTCAAATTTAATGTGTTTCATCCTATTTGAACGCTGTTTTTATACATAATGCTTCTCCAGCTTGATCTTATAGGTCAAAGTTATGCCATCTAATGACTAGAAAGCAGTGCACCAGTAAAGGTGCCATCAGCTATGGCTGTTTAAACGTTATCTTTTCCAGCCATCATGATTACTGCATATCATATGTTCAACATTGGGGATTATTATTAACCTCTTACTGTTATGCTATGAAAGCACATGGCATAACAGTGTGTGTGTGTGTGTGTATCTATCTATCTCAACCAGATCCTTATCAAATTATTTTGATATTATGCTTTCCATATAATTATTTTGTAATTATTCGAATTCATCTGTGTGCTGTGTGTGATTTATGATTTCAGGAATAAACAGAAAAGTCTGGAGGACTACTGTCAGAGAAGAAGTACACCATGCACCCCCCAGGAGGTGGCTGTACTTACTGAGAGCGTCTTAGCTATGATTTTAAAAGACAAGAGACCACTTGCTGTGGGTGAGGGATTCAAAGAAATGCTGACCACTTTCCAACCAGGTTACACTCTGCCGTCTAGCGTCATTTTACAAGCATGATGGAGAGAAAGTATGAAACTTCAGTGGAGAAACTAAGGAATGAACTAAAAAAAGCCACATCCAAAATCTCCCTTACCACTGATGCTTGGACAAGTCTGGTCACAGAGTCCTACTTAGGGGTAACTTGTCATTTCATTATTTGTTCAAAGACGCCATTGCTGCTGTTTGTATATTATTAATTTTTTGCTATGATTTCCTTTGTTATATTTGTTTTGCAAAACATTTAATTTTTTGTTAAAAACAGAAGATTGTAGTACAATGTTATTGTGGATTTTGTTTTGTGAATGAAGAGCACTTTTTGGCAGAAAGCAAAGTGAATGTTACATTTTGTTTGTTTAAAGACACCATTGTTGCTATTTATTTGAAATGTTTTGTTAACTTTTCCTTAATTTTATATATGTTTGCACATTTCATTTCTTGTTAAATGCTATCTCTATTGTATTGATTGTACGACCTCTACAACTTTATTTTGCAATTTTTTTTTATTAAAAGGTCTTCAAATGAATAAATTTGTTTTTCATTTATATACATAAATTAATAAATGTGAAATTGCTATACAAGTCAAATAATGGGGAAAAAATCGTTAATCGAATCGAAATCGAATCGGATTGAAAAATGAATCGTTAGATTAATCGATGCATCGAAAAATTAATCGCTAGATTCATCGATTAGGAAAATAATCGTTTTGCCCAGCCCTACTTCTCAGGTGACAGAGAGTGGAGAGAGTTTACGGACGAGAAGCAACAAAGAGCCGTCAGGTGCTCCAAACCAACCTCAGACTCAAACGCTACAACGGGCACAGCACGCAGCACGCCGTGTAGAAAGACTCACAAAGAAAATGGCGGCCGTTACAACTTCTATCTAAAAATAGATGGTTTCATGCATCGGTCAGAACACTCCGCTGAAAATGCCTCACACGGGTCGAGTTACAGAAAAAGCACATTTAGTGACAGATGAGGTTATCGGGAGATAACCGGGTCATATCGCACGGCCCTTGATCTGATGTGGTTTCTGGGTTGAAGCCATGGGTATAGTTGATCACACGGCACAGCACACCTGTCCTGTGCTCTGAGTGGATAAAGGGAGCCAATAACCCGAGGTTATTCTGTCATCACGGCTCGGTTATTGACAGGTCTCTTGATTCAACTTATTTATATAATCACAGCAACAGTCGCCTGAAAGCGCTTTACGCTGTGAGGTAAAGAGCAGTACAGAGAAAACTCTGTGCGCAGGCTGACGGTGGGAAACAGGAAGAAACCTGCCTAACGATAAGCTCCGCCTGGCTTCACAAAAGTGGATTTTACAAACTGGAGACTCTGACTGCGCTCGGGCGTTTCTGGAGAACCGCCTCCTGTCCTAAATCCTTGATGTCATCCAAGAACCGGAGTCACATCCATGATTCAAACGCTGAGCTGTGCTGTGGACGATGAGGAAAAACAAAGGAGCGCCATGACGACGTGACGCATCAGGTCCACTGACCCAAAGAAGAGGAGCGCCATGTTTGGTGAGGAGCAGGCCAGTGGATTCTGTGATCCTGCACAGACCAGACCACAGATGGACCTGCGAGCAGCTCCGGGACCACTGAGGCGAGGAAGAACGAGTGCTGGGAACACGCAGATGCACAATGAAGTCAGTGCCATCAATACTCTAGGAGGCGTGAGCTGAAACGGTGCGTTCTATTACTCAGGTAACGGCACTTGTGCGGCGATTAACCCTCGGTGTTCACACCTGCTCGGCAACAATCACAAGGAACCGGGACGACGAGTATCGGTCACAGTACTGACGAGTACTGGTATCGAGAGGTAGTACTGACTTACATCCTTACACCTGTCCAGGTGTGCGGTGCAGCCGGTCGGCAGCTGTGCTTTTCACTAGACCGTCTGCTGCTTGGTCACATGTCCAGCACTTACACGACATCATGTCCTGTCACATGATGCAGCCTGAGGGATCATGTGACCTCTGTGAGCGCGATCAACGGATGGCACGTGTCACCAAACACGAACACACACAGGATGTGAGTCTGAGGAACGGTCAGGGGTCAAAGGTCAGGGGTCAAAGGTCAAATATCAGGGATCGGGTTGAGGATTAAAACGCCAACAGCGTGGCGTTTTGTTTTTTTTCCCAGACAGCACCTCGTTAAGTCATCGCAGCCGTCGATCCCACCTCGGCCTCACAGTGATGTCATCATCAGGAACTCATGTGATTGGCTGTTCAGCTGCTTCCAGCTGACTTCTGACGCAAACATCAAAACTTTATTTAAATGGTAAAAATGACAGTAAACACAGAAAGAACCTGGTGTGCATTATCGTTATCGTCTCACCTCGACGTCCTGGCACGTGCGCGGCTGAGCCTGACACAGCATACTGAGCAGCTGCAGGATCAGCTCCTCCACGTACTGCAGCGCCTCCTGCTGGGACACCAGGTTAGGATGCACCTGGTTCAGTACCTGAACACACACACACACACAGATCAGTCATAGCGTCATTGACAGCTCGTGGCTTCCTGACAGTTACTAATAAATGTGCCGGGCAGCTCATGAATGCGACGTTTACAAATGTCTCAGCGTTTACAGATTTTAGATATTTAAGTTTGGAAGGACGAGACATTTGAAATCAGGAATTCAGGTCATAAATGCAGAAGAAGCTGCTGAATGTGATTGGAACTGGACATTATTATTACCTTCCAACATAAAGCGCCGTCGTTGTCATTTCGTGCTTTATAAATAAAACTGAAATCCTCACTGCACAGTTTTGCACAAACTGTAAATACCAAACGATTGTTAATATTTAATACTTTGGTATTTTTATATTATTATTATTATTATTATTTTCCTTCTTTGATTTAGCTGTACACTTTCTAATGTTCATGTAAAGCTGAGGAAGAATTTCATTACAGTTAAATGTTCCAATACTGTTTCTCTGTATAAGACAATAAAACTTGAATCCACGATTGTAAACGTGATCCACTCAGGATCTGCAACTCAGACAGTTTGCTGATCTGTTCCGGAGCACATGCTCCCGTTCTGGGTCGAGCCGCTGAAAACGATTCAGGTGATTGTCAGTGGAAAAACCTGCCGACGCTCCGAAGCCTCAAAATGCTGTCTAAATGACTGAGCTTCAATCTGTGAATGCATTTCAAAATGAAATGTAATCAGATTACAATCACACTGTCTGCTAGAGCAGGGCGATATGACCAAAAATATTTATCACGATATACATTTGAAAATTTGCAATAACGATATAACTGACTAATGCTGGGCCATATTATACCGTTCACGGTAACACCGGTGTAATGTTGGGCAACGATAAGAAAATGAAATATGGCGATAGAATATGGGTAAAACGCGCATGCGCAGTGCCTTTGTTTTCATGCGCACATGGGGGCGAAGGAGAACGAGAAGGGCAGATCGTTGAATGAAACTGATGAACCAGAACTGGTTTGTAAAATGCTGCAGCTTCAGTGGTGTGGAACTGG